GAGATCAATAATAGAATTATCTACACCTAAATTTCCATAATTCCAAGATGCCATGTTTCTCAAATCGATAGTTATAAAAAAAATACAAAAAAAAAACAAACTAAAAGAAAACAAAATAAAAGTTCAAACGCGTAACCTAGCAATATATACAGCTACAACTACATTGTTAGTTCCCCGGCAACGGCGCAAAAATTTGATCACGCCCAACTCTAGTCCTAAAAAGGATAATCGGTCGCTGCAAATATAATCCGGTCTAAAAGTCCGGAGTCGAATCCCACAGAGAACTAAGGCTTTGCTATATCTGTTTAATATCACTAAGAAGACAAGTTTGAACAATTTCCTAAATTATAAAGATTGAGATTTATATTTCTAACTAATTAACTAGCAAATACTACAAAGCGGCAAAATTATCAACTAAAGAGACAAAGGTTTGGAGACTAAATTAAGGAGGTCTAGAGTTATGATTTCCCCAATTGTTGATTTCATTAGTTGTATGTTTCTTATAGCTTTGACTTAGTTGCCTCTATCAATCATGAACTCTCCAGCTATCATAAATCTCTCTCAAGCAATTATGATTATTCATTAGACGCACTCTCTCAAGCTACGCAAGCTAGATTCACATTACAGTTCACTTAGATCGCACCCGAGGTATCGTTATCTCTAATCCAACCTCTAAACCCTCGGTTATGACTCTCGCCTATACTCCGGGAGTGATGTTGTTCAAACAACTACCTAAATATGCACTCTCTCTCAAGCAAATACATAATAAATAGGAACGGCTAATTGAGGATCCTTTCAATTAACCAAAATCAAAACGTAGTTGAACAAATAGAGATTAACAAATAACTCAAAGCTATATTCATATAACAACCAATTCATCCCCAAAAGGTTCCATCAAAACCCTAGATAACAAATTAGCTATTCATAATAGTATGTAAAAACACAATACTAAAAATCATAACCAACAATGAAAAATAGGAAGAGGAAGGAAAAACTCGTTGAAGAATTCTGCGCCTTGCTCCTATTGTGTTCTTGACTCCTTAGGTCGAATCTCCGGTCTCCTTAGCCTCCTTAGGTCTAAGTTATGTCAAAAGTATGTCCAACTCCTTAAAACACCGTTTTCCATGTATATATACCAAGTAGGGTCGGGCCCAAGCTATTATACCTTCTCCTACGCGAAAAAGGACAATATTTCACGTCTGGACAGTCGCGGCCGCGGTCAGGACCGCGGTGAACCGTGGAAGACATTGCCTCATCCCGCCTCAGCTCGTTGGTCGCGGTTTCGATCGCGTTTTTCACCCTGTTCCGTTTGGGATTTGGAAAAACGTAAAACATGAAAGTTGTAGCCCTTTGAGTTAGCTTTCCAACCATATGGAGCTCACATGGAGTTCTGAGCAAAAAGTTATGTCTATTTTACTAGACAGTGCGCAATATGCCTACTCGAGTCTTCGTTTTGTTGTTTTATCATCCGTTGATCCCCGAATACGATACCGGCTTAATTCCTTGGGCTTTTACTCAGACTTCAAAGCTCCAAATCATTTGAATTCATTCCATAACATCTATATATCTCGGAATCACTCCTACAAGGCATAAAACACACCGTTAGTGCAAAACACTAGCGATTAAAGCGCAAACTCAACTAAAGTGCAGTAAATTAGAGTGTAATAATCGACTAAAATACGTAATTATAGCCTATCATCACACCGGCCCGCACGCGGGTCACCAGTTTGGAACTATCTTCCCCTTCTTCTTCTTCGAACTCATCCCTTAATCGGCAAATTGAGTCCGAAAGCATAGAACCGGTGTCCCCCTTAGGCTTGCAGGGCCTCCTCGCCGGTCTTTTATTTTCCGAGCCCGGAGAACTCAGAGCCCCTTTTCTCTTCTTCTCTTTGGCCTGCTTCGAAACTGGTAGTTGGGGGAGGACTTCTTCCTCGTCAGATGGGGGCCTCATTGCTACATCTTTCCCGAGGACTACAAAGGAAAAAAGACGAGTAAGCTCGAAAAGAATCCCCAAACAATAACCGTTCAGAGAAAGAAAATTACCATGATTAAGGGCCTCCCATCGACCCTTTGATAACTCCATCCAAGAATGCTCGGATTATGGTCTCTGCGACACCAGGCCCTCGACCCATTGCTTGAGATCGGGGACTACCTCCGGCACCTGGGCCATAGCTGCAACACCAAAAAATATAGATGATGAAAGAAGATAAGAGGTAAAACAGCAAAATTAAAAAGGCAAAGTACTACTCACGATTCATGTTCCATTTCTCAGGAAATGACATGTCTTCAGCAGGGATCAAGTCCGAAGTCCTTATTCGGAAAAATCAGCCTATCCAACCTCGGCCGCGAGCTTCGTCTATGCTAGAGAACGGGGCCTTGATGGCCCGGCGATCAAGCTTGATCAGCCCTCTTCAATAAAGTCGAGGGCTGTAAAGACGCATAAGGTGATCGAGGGTGAAAGGACATCCCTCGATTTTGCTCACGAAGAATCGGAGGAGAATCACTATTCTCTAGAAGGAATGATGGATCTGGCTGAGGGTCACGTCATACCTCTTGCAGAAGGCGACGATGATAAGGTCTAAGGGACCCAACGTGAAAGGCTAAGTGTAAACTCTTAGGAAACCCTCCACATAGGTATTGATCGACTCCTCGTGCGAAGGTACCACAATATGTTTATCGACCCAGTGGCACTCTTATTTAACTTTGTCAAGGAGATCATCGGTTATCATGCATATGTACCTCGAGACCGGTTCACATCGACCAGGTACTGAGGAATTCTTTTCAATCCTAAAATCGACGACAGTAGGGCACCCTCCAAAAATGAAATCCTTAAGGGGATATTCCGTCGTAGCTCCATCGCCGGCGGGCCGTGAAGAAGAGGCGGCCTTCTTTTGCGGTACGGTTTTAGAAGTTTTTGCCATTGTAAAGTAGAAGAGAAGGGAATTAGGATGATATGTGGTTTGCTTAAGATTCAAGAGATTTGGCAGCAAGAAATGCAACGCAAAGAGATTTTTGAAGAGAAGCAACAATGAGGGAAATTTTGAGCGTAAAGTTTGAGTGGAAGAAGGTGGCGATACTTATAGCTTGCTGGTGGCGGTTCAGAACCGATGGTGGCCGACCATCAACTGACAGGCATTTAATGCCTCGGTAACCGAACCGACAGGATGTTTCGGTATCCATTTGTCGCTGACGTCATAGTCGGGCTCGTCGCTTACGTCATGGCACATCGAGACGGGATTGGAAAAGTTCATATCGTTTTTTGTCATCTTCTCTCCGAGAAACGAGGGGACTATCTATATACGGTCAAAATCGGGCTTGCCCTTGCGATATGATTGATCGAGACTGGAACGCGATAAGCCAAGGTTCAACCTCGTATTATATCGAACCATGAAGCAATGTTAGATTACCGAGCTCGTGACTCAGAGACCGATCAAAATCGAGACCAAGCTAAAAAAAGATCGAGCGAGATCCAGGTAAGTTTACCGATCCAAATAACGGAAAGCCGAAATACCCGTAGTCGAGCAAGGATCACGGCGGAAATCTCGGCACGTATCAAGAAGAGACCGATTAATTAGCTAATCAGGAGATTTCTTATTGTATCTAGAATTGTATCAAGGGTAGGACGCCCCTACTATATAAAGGGGGTCTGATCATTTGTAAAAGGGATATTCAGGCAATACTAAGCAATATACTGTCATTTTCTAGCTTTCATTATCTTGTTATTTTGTCCTTAAACAAGTTGAAACATATTTGGTTCAAGGGTGACTGAACTTGAAGGCCAAGGCTGTTCAATTCGTGTGGTTTGCATTTATTCTTTTATCGTCTATTTTAATACTAAATTTATTCTCCTCAATTTGTACCAAGTTATATAACGTATACTTAAAACCATCGTATAAACTCAATTGTTATCCGATTTTAAGGTAAACATAAACGAATTCATTAAATTCATCAAAGAGTACTAATTACTTCTCTTGTTTATAATAAATAGTACTCCTTTCACCTCATTTTATGTAATAATGTTTAACTTAAGATGGAGTTTAAAAAAAGAAAGACGTCAAACCTGGTATTTTAAATAGGCCATAAATATTTGTGTGGCTATACTAAATCACAACTATTCTGAATATAGAAAAATATTTTTTTAGATAGCCCAAAAAGGGGAGTATGTTACCTGAAATAGGACACAGGAGTAATTAGTTAATATCCTATTTCGCCATTTCATGCATGTAGGTCCTGGATATTAACATTCATTATTAAACAATATTGACAAGAAATACTCCCATAGTAAATTTACCCTTCTATAAAAAGAAACTAGATGTCCAAGATAGGTGAAAATAAATTACAATTTTTAAGTATTAGATTTTTTAAAAGAAGTAACGAAATTTTAAGTTAAACTTTGATGGCATTACAAAATTAAACGTTTCCACGTAGAAAGATTTACTTTGTAGTTTGTTTTATTATTTTGCCTTTTTCATAGAGATCAGTAACAAAGGATATTTCTAGATAAACAGAGTAAGATCACTTTTTTCTATTCGAACTATAAGTGAACACATCAATTCCTCGAAATAAAAATAAATAAATAAAAACTAATCAATTCTTGAGGTACGTGTTTTTACTGTGAACTGTGATAGCAGTCGATCAGCCCATTGTTCATCTGTCTAAAATCTCTACAAGTAAAGAACAAAACACAATCGAAACCACAGAATCTCTATTGACAATATAAATTAGTGGACACACAAATATAGTCATGTCGATATATTTGCATAGAGTTCCATGTAATGTCAATATATTAAAGAATATAAGATAAGAGAACTGTAGACCTGAAGAAAATATAATTTACATCAAGTGAAGACATGGGTGGTATCTTCACAGTTAAAGCACAGCCATATAAAAACTAAAAACTGACCTCAGTTCTACCAAGCAGCCGGTTTGCCGCCCTTTTTTTTTTTTTAGGGGGGGGGGGGGGGGGAGGGGGGGTTGGGGGTGGGGGGCATGTACAAAAATAATGTTATAGTGAAGGAAAGGAACAAGTTTGAGCTTCAGCCTTCCCTCCAAATTTGAAATTGCAAGCTGGCAAATTGGAAAAGGAAAAAGGAAATATTTTTCCTCAACCCCATCTAATCCAACAAACAGTAAACACACTCGTTCATCAGTAACTATCTTTTAGCAAGGTAACAAAACGAATGTAATATTTTTGTATAGAGATGGTGTCTCGGACAATTTAGCGCAAAGCAAAGCCATTTATACTATCTCAGGACGAGAAGCTTCTGCCTCCCTGGTTGGCACTGACACATGAGTTGTTGCCTGATGGGGTGCTGCTGAAGGCTCGGATGGAGGAGCAGGTCTTGGTGCTATTGTGACATGCAAGCCTCTTTGTTGCCCTGCCTGCAGTAAAAAAGCAACTTCAGCTGCTGCTAATGCTGCTGCCTCCTGCTTCACATGAAAAAATATGAAACATTAGAAATAACAGAGTACTCGTAGGACGAAGAAAATTAGTAACCCTTAAGGCACCCACTGCTTCAGCTAATCGTTACCCTTTCCAAGTGTGATTTCTATGTACTTTGGTATCTAATTGCACAAAAATGGAGGTATATCCTCCATTGATTAAGAGTTTTGGCAGATAAATTTCTTATGCCAAAAACTCTTAAGTAGATCCTCTGCGTTTCACTCAATTGTCATTTAATTTTGGCAGAAGGCGATGGAGACTAGTAAACACACAGCAAAGGGGGTACTTTGGCACAGGCGTGGACATGAAGACACAAAATCATGAAAATTAAGGACAACATGACATCGTCAGAACTGTAGTCTTATTTTGTAGGGGTTTGACAAAAGCTCAAAGCAAAAATCTAGGACCCAATGGTTGATTGCTTCCTCAGCTCCCCTCCACCTCCTTCCAAGCTCGTCCATCGCCCCCATAGCTGCCGCGGTTCCAGCGGCGGTGGTTTAGGGGGAGATGATGAGTTTCTCAAGCGGGATGAGCATTCCCTCGTGGAGTAATCGGGAGACTAGCCGTTTCAAAGCTATCGGAGTGAGCTTGAGAGGGAGTTCAATTCAGCTTAAGCATAATAATTGAGAGAATCTTTGGGAGATGGTAGCTGCTAAGATGGAGGAGATCGGATATAGGAGAAGTGCTGACAAATTTGGTCAATTATTACAAGGGTAAGGAAACATCTGATCCAGATAATGGCAGATAATTTTGATTTTTTTTATGCGCTGCATGCACTTTTTACAGCAAGTACAAATAACGTACATTAGCTACAGCTCGACCCCAAGGCTGGTTCCAATTCTAACAGGCGAGGAAGAGGCGTGGAGAGCAAGTAGGGATCAATTTTTCGAGGAAGTCACAGAAGATGAAGGAGGTTATGCTTATGAGAGTGAAGCAATGTTGCTTGCAAAGAGAAAATTGAAAAAGGAAAGTGGCCAAGAACAAACAATGCAGAGAAACCTCTGAGACTGCCCAGCTTAGGAAGTATTAACACTGCTAGAACTGTTGAAAATATTCAAAATATGCTTTAAATTTTTTTTCCATCAGCAGCTGAGGATAGAGATCCAATGGTGGTAGAAGTGTGCTCGTACTCATGAAAGAGAACAATTTGAGCAGGAACAACGGTCATCAATGGAGAAGCTTGAAAGGGATAGGAAGATGATTAAGCAGGCTTGGAGGGAGGGGAGGAGCAAAGGAGAATGAGAGAGTAGAGACTAACAGAAAAGAGGGATGCCATAATCATTGGTGAAAATTATCCGATGAATTATTGTTTTATTTTTTTGGGATTATCAGTACGTAGCTCAGACTTCAATGTCTCATCCGATGATTCACTGTATTTCATTTTATAAATTAGACAGACCCAATGAGGTATTGCATTAGGTGGTTTATAGGAGAGGAATTAGGTATAGAGTACAAACTTTAAAGAATTAAGAGTAGATGATCATTCTTCTATTGTGATTTACATCACTATCAATAAGAATAGCTTCAAATCTGACATTTGCTAGGGACAAAGATGTAAGGCCAAATTACATAGAGCTCCTCTGAAATAGGGAAATGTAAAGCTAAAAATAAAGAACAAACAGATACTCTTTTCCTCTTCGTATCGAATTCTTCAGACAGCAAAAAATGGAAATCACTACAGCTGGCTTAAGCATGGCGCATTTTTAAGTGGGAACTGCGGGCAGACTTCGGCTCCCGCTATAGCAATGTTTTTAACTTACAAATACATGAGCAGAGACCATAAAAATTATCCGAGCAATTATTGTACGTAAAACGTGAACACACACTTCATCATTTTGCACAAGTCTTTTACATTATGCATAAATGTATATCATTAAAATGTGCACGAAGGAAGATGTGCATGTGAATAACCTTCTGAGGATTTATGAAAATCCAAAAAGACTCTAACCTGTCTTTGCCTACGACGCTGCAATATACTGATACCCCAAGCCATGATGAAGCAAGGTAGAAGAAAACCAGCAGCCCGGAGCAAAAAAAGCTGTGTCAAAGGATCAACAATATCATTAATCCCGCACACCTTTTACTACTATGGATGCGTCACAGAGTCACCACTCAGAAGAGGTATAGTTTCATTTTATGATCCACTTACAGAAAAAAAGGTGGTAACGTCATCATCATCATCACCTTCATCATTTTCAAAAGCATGCCTCAATAATAGGAGGGCCATTAACTGCAGGACAGAAGACATCATTCAATAAGGTTGCCATGATCCTGACATAAGCTTCAAAATAGAGTAAAACCGGTTGGAACACAAGGGCCAAACAAAAAGAAAAGACCGAACATGATTTCACTACCACATCCACAATTTTTTGACACATCTAAAAAGATTCTTCCCTATTTTCTCTAATTTTGATATCCTGAACGAGAAAGAATACATTCCCTACACACTATGAAGACATTTTTACACATTTAGGCAGAAAGTGAATGTCATTTCTGTACCATATGGACAGCCAGGGGGCAAAGGGTAATAAGTCGAAACAAGACAAGGGAACGGAAGGAGAAAAGAGAACAAAAAGTATGAATTAGAGCATGGGACATTCGCCCCTCCGCCTTCCGACTGCACGTTGCCATTTTAAAGAAAAATGAGCGTGAAAGTACAGATAGCCATTGGTGGATATGTTTGTTTACAAATCTTTTGTATAGGTAGGTAAGGATAAGGTAACATTAAGGTTTTTTTCTTTTGAATACTTCAGTGAAATGAAAATTATCAGTTTTCTCTAAAATAGCGGACATAATATAAGAATGCAGTTTCTATGAAATCCGACCACCGTATTCCTCCAACTACACTTAGATCTCTTGTTAGGTACCATTAGGTCACTATTAAGCAGGAAATTTCAACACCAACACCACCACCAACAACAACAACAATATACCCAGTGTGATCCCACAAGTGGGGTCTGGGGAGGGTGGGGTGTACGCAGACCTTACCCCTACCTTGTGTGAGGTAAAGAGCCTGTTTCCGATAGAACCACGGCTCAATAAAAGCGTTTTCAAAACAGGTTTGAAAAAATACAAGAGTAAGAAAACTATAATGAAAATACTGATGAAAAAAGAAGTATTGATGGAAAAAATAGTAAAGATAATCAAAGTAAAAGAAATAACAGTAGTAATAAGAAAAAATCAAGAAATCAAGAAGGTGTTTTCCTCCCTACAGGACAAATTCTAAATCTGCTTATCTTGATGTCAGTCAGAAGAATAGTTTCTAATGCATACTCCACGTTACCACTACAACACATTTAGCCAGTAACAACGACAGACAGTTGCAGAAGCTCACAAATAAAGCAGCAGAACGACAAAATGCAGCTCCGCTAGCACTTGCATCAGCATATTCGTCATGGTCAGCCTCTTGAAGATGGCGTTCTGTGACAGCCATCGAAAGAAGACGAGGGTCATTTATGTCAAGCTGAGTGCCAGCCACTGTCCAACCACCACTGAAAGAAAAAATTCATAATTGATGAAATCCATCAGTGACACAGAACAAAGAAGATTTTCAGCTGATCAGATCAAAAAGACATGCTAACAAGCTTGGATTGCACTTTGGCCACAAGAGCACTGCAAGCAGAGAAGCATTAATAATGAACAACACCACAAAAGGAGAAGGAAGGAGAAACATAGCCACTATGGTCCACCGATCATTGGAAGAAGAAAGGGAAAAAGGTGACATTAACAATAAAACTGGCACCAAAAAAGAACAACTCCTGATTAACGAAGACCAACATACAAACTAGTTGTATATTTTGTGGAGAACTGAAGATAAAAAAGGTTTAACATGTCATAAAACCCTTCAAATGAGGGAAAGGGTTTTGATGTCTAGTTCAGCTTGTTGTCTCTAGGTTTCTCAAGAAGCTATTTCCTTGGTGAACGGGAAAAAAATTAGTTCATGATAATGAAGCTGTTTTTTTCCCTCCTTTTTCCTTTTGAGATATCTGAATATGCCGGAATCTCACTGTCACTTTTAGTACAGACATATAATTTATATGAGCACCAATGCAATAACAAAAATGAAGGGAAATTCTTTTACATAGTAAACATGCCAATCAACATCAAAAGTGATGGTCATTCAACATCGAACAATACGGATCGACTTAGTTATTGTAGAATTACTGTAAATCCTAGATTATCATTATCAAGTTAAGGGAAAGGTCTAAATACAAACAACTGAAACATTATGTTTACAAGGTTTTATAACCCCCCCCCCCCCCCCCCCCCGGAATAGCTTTTAGGCAAAGAGGAAGCCTATGGGAGGTGTATATCTCAGAGTGAAGAAAACAGGTAGATATCAGTGTATATTGAAATGCAAATACCAAAAATCACCCACAGAGCAACACACTTTAAGGGTTAAAAGGAATGATTTTGCAACAAAGAATTGAATCCTGATATAAAAAAAAATTATGATATGACAACACCTGATGTCAATGACAGTTTCTTCCGAGGGAGGAGGCGGTGGTGGAGCAGTATATCCAGGTCGGTAAGGCTGCAGATTGGAGAGAATTCTCCAAATAAACATGTCACTTTGCACAAATAACTAAGTGTGGCAGTACAAGAACCAAGCCATAAATCCTCCTTACTCAAAATTCAAAGTGCAAGCAACTGATAAATAGATACGTATATTACCTGGTGACAGATCTCGCAAGTTACATCTCCCTTCTCATTGCACCATCTCTGAACGCATTTCCTATGAGCATACTGGATTTGTGAAATTCGCAGATGGTAAACAAGAGAAAGAAAAGGAACAGTTAGCCGATCCGTGAAACCCCACAAGCATACAAAATGGGGGGAAAACATGCTCATCTATGATTAAAACATTTTAAAATATAAGGCTAATTCAAGAGAAGTATCAACATGCCTCATCCCAGATCATTTGAGGTCAACTATAAGAGAATCCTCCATACTAAAAGAATTTTAGATTAATGAAGTTTTAGCATCCAAATCATTTTGCAATTTCACAAAGGCAAAACATTCTTCAGTTTTAGCAGGTAACTTGAGTACATAAAGTCTTCTATCTTACGCGCTTACAAACACACAACTATATCTAAACAGAACCGTGAATTTCAGATGGGACTTCAAAACAGTTGACAAGCAGGTACACAAACATTGCACGCTGCACATACGCAATGGTGCTGAATCTATTTCTGGTGTAGAAATGACTGTATATATGTTCTTCGCTTTAAGGGACCTGCGCAGAAGATACTTGCTAAAACAAATATTCTCTCCGTCCCAATTTATGTGACGTTGTTCAAGTGGGCACGGAGTTTAAGAAAGAAAGAAAGACAGACTTTTGAAACTTGTGGTCTAGAATAAAGCACAGATATTTGTGTGGCTATAAATCATCTCATTAAGGGCACAATGGGCATTGCAAAGTTAAATTTTTATTGAATAGATAAAGGTGACATTTTTTTTTGGGACCGACTAAAAAGGAAAGAGTGCCCATAAAATGGGCAGGAGGGAGTAATCAATTTATTTCAGAATTACTGACAGGTCTGAGACATGAGGTACACAAAGTATCAAATGCAACAACCGAATCCAACTAATAATTGCTTGATGCCACTGAATCAAACGAAAGAACAAGAATGACTTCCAAAAAAGGAATTTAAAAATACAAAGAAAAGCAACTAGCTTAAGGATACAATGCTCTTCAACGACCAAGTAAAAGAACCAGGTTCACAACCACCAAATAGGAGCTTAGTGCCCATAGCAAGAATATTAAAGTAGGAGGTTAATATTTACCCCTAGTACCAAAAAGGAGAAGGTAGAAAAATATGTAACCAGGTTACCCTTATCAACAAGTAATTACAGCTAGAGATACTGATGCGAGACTTAGCTGGGTGAAAGGCATAAACAATAAGCTTCTGTTAATGTCAACACCTGACAATTTCAAGTTCTTCAGAAGAATTACTGAGATATTTGAAATTTTCAACTTAAACAAAAGTAAGATCAACATGATTGACATTTACATGCATAAGCAACACTGTGATCAATACTCAGTAGCTCGTGAAACAGTGAGAGCACAAATTTATAACTTCACAAAGATACCTTCAAGCTGCCACTACAACTACAAGGAATCTCCAAATTTTTTGGGCTATCTTCTTCCTGGCAAATTCGACATTCCACAGTCTGAATTAGTGGCTCTTCTTCGCCTCCAGCTTCTGGTTCTTCTTCGCCCTCACCCAAGGTTGATGGGCCAACTTTGCGAGAATAAGAACTGCCCCCTGAGGATCCAGCGCCCCCGGCACCTTGCGGTGAGTGCAGGGATTCAGGTGTGACGATACGATCAGCATACAGAACTGACTGTTCTCCCATTAGCAATTCACTGATGTATCCTAAGATCACCAAACACCAAAATCCATCTCACACACAACAAAAGGGAAAAAAAGAATGAAACATGGATAAACACACCAATCGCAAAATATTACTCCAAACATCAAATTCAAGGCTAGTAGCCCTATAAAATTAGCTGATTCTTTTGGGAGAATATAGGATTGTATATCTTTTTTACCTTTATGCAGCATTGTATAGGTGCTACTGCCCGTTTGTCTGGCAACAGTTATGACATTTGCCGTTTACATTGAAGACCCCTATGACCCTTTTTTTTCCTTAACAAAAACTCCAATATCACCATTGTTGGCAAAAAAAGAAAAAGAAGGAATATTCTAGTTTGATTTCCCGAACATAAATCCCACAGCTAAAAAACAACAAAAGAATAAATGATAAGAAAGAGCTCCAGGGTTTTACTACTAGGGTAACTAACTACTAATGTTCCCTCTTTAATATTCAGTTTTTGGATATGAAACAAACCAATTAATGTACTAGAGTTTCATCTCTTTTTTTTTTTGGTCAAACGAAAAATTATATTTAACCATGGGTAAATATGTACAACTAGCTCTTCTTGGACTCTTGAGCTAGATCCTCAAACAGACCCCATATAAAACTCTAACAAGCTGGACTACTTCATAGACTACTCCTACGCAACTGGATAACTATTGTGTCTATTTAGCCATCTAGACCATTTATAATTCTCTTGTCCAACAATGTGCAAACTGCAAGACTATTTCCCTGACTATCATCTTGTAATCTTGTGCTTTCTTATTGAATCTGTGGTTGTTCCTTTCCACCCAGATATGATACACAGTGGCTGCAAAGAGGTATCCTAAGATAGCTTTTTTTGGCCTATTGTTGCTCACCTGAGTTGATAACCATGTGATCTCTCCATCCCATGTTCCTATTTGTCAATGAAAACCCAACCACTGTAGTAGGGTCTTCCATATGTACTGTGAGTAGGGGCAATCAAAAAACAGGTGTGTATGAGTTTCTTCCAACGGTGCTGCACACAGAACACTCTCTTTATCCCCTAGTATCCCCCATCTGCTCAATTTGTCTACTGTTGAAAGCCTATGCTGAACAGCTAGCCATAGAATGAGCTGATGTTTTGGAACTAAGCAAGGTAGCAGTGTCAGGTTTTTCCAAGGAACCTTTTGGTATTGGGGTAGCAATGCTCTGTAAGCTTTAGTAATGTTGAATTCTCCATATTTGGTGAGATACTGCAGCACAGTAGTGATATCAGTACTCATGGAAGAAGTCATGGCTGGTATGGTGAAGTTTTGTACCCAATCTCTTGCATCAAATACTTTCATCACTAGCCAGCTGGCCTGTTTAGGACTGGCCAAAGTTGTCAAGTCCCTACCCTTTATGTAATAGTTGTGAACCCATAGTTTCATCTCATTTTGATGAACTTACATGCTATAGCATTAGTATTATACTCTTCAACACAAAATCAAATACTAGTTGTAACATCTTACCACAAAGACATGCGGTAGAAAGTCCAAACTCATCGGCTATGAACACAATTCACATACCATTTAAGGGAAAATAACACAAGAATTAGAAGAGCCTCTACCATAAATAAAACTAGTTCAAACACTAAAACCAAAATATACAATTTGCTGGCGAAGACAACCTATTTTAGTTGAATACAGTAAAACTCAACCCCCCCCCCCCCCCTCACAACCCCCTACCTAGGAGCCCAACAATAATTCTTGATGACTCTAGCTCTCAACCAAATGTTTGGAGGTGAAGCAAAGTACATTATAATAAACACATGAAAGACATTCTAGCCATCAAAAAGACTTCTTGACAACAGAAAGACCATAAAATTTCAAGGAATAACTTCTACAACTAGAACCAAGCTTGAAAGTTTCCAACTTTGAAGTCATAACTCAAAAATCCGAGAAAATTGATAACCCAAAAAGGAAAATCTTGAACTCATACAAGAATAACAATCTTGATTGATTTTGGGTTAAACAATAACAGTGAAAATAGAATCTTGAGGTACCTCAATATGGTATTGATTTTGCTTTCTGAAGCCTGGCAGAGTAGCAATTAAATTTGTACAGTGTTAAAAAGACTGAGGAGAAGTTGCAACAACTTTTGCCTTGATATAAATTAGATTACAAATGACAAATATTTTAATAGTCGTAATATTTAATTATGAAGAAGATTATTCCTTAGATAACTCCCACCTATTCACCGACCCTATGAACTTTCTATTTAATTACTCAGATGTATAACTCCAACTCTCCTTAAAAATGATGATGCTACTTTTTGAAGAGTTAAAATGTTTTTTTACTTCTAATTATAGAAAAGTTATACTCCCTCCGGTCCAAAGTTACCAATTTGCTTTTGGCACGTCCATTAAGAAAATACTAAATTTTATATAAAATATTTAGTATGACTAAACTATCCTTAATTAAATGTTTAATGCGAGAAGTAAGAAAACTTTTTAGGGATATGTACATTAAGGTAATTTTATAAAAATAAATTGAATTCTTTTTTGATTATATAAATGAATATTTATTTTGGATCGAAATAAAAAAATAAATTGATCAGTTATTGTGAATCGAAGGTATTCAAGAAGGGTCTATATGTACTTTTTTAAGTTTTTCAAAATTATTTCTAGAAAAACTTTTCGACTAGTCTCGGTCTACCCTTGCAGGTAGACTAATACTATATTAGACATTACTGTTAAGAAAAAATTACTCCCTCTGTTAATTTATATCAGTTCCAAAAAGAATAAAATATTTATATATTTAAAAATAATTTAATTTTAAATTTTTTATTTTATTCACTTTATCCTTAATGTGAAATTTTTATAGCTACATAAATATCATAGCTCCATTAAGCTTTTATCCCTTAAGCTTTTAGCACCAGATATTTCAAAAGTCGTTCTTCTTTTTTCTTAAACTTTATGCCAAGTCAAACTATCGCATTTAAATTGAAATGGATGGAGTATTTACTTTCTTAGACCTACATATAGTGTTCCAAAGAACATATAAGTTGGGATGTGGGAAGAGTTTTTTATTTATTTATATTAATTATGTGGAGCAGTATTTAATTAAAAAAAAAGAAGAAGAAAAAACCTAACATGATCCCTTAGAGTAATTAACCGAATGAAATTAATTTAAAGAAACAACTATGTATAATATAGTGTCTTAGGCTTGCGAGTAAAAGATTTTGCAAAAGTTTTTCAAAGTTTGTCTTTTTACTAAATAATAAATCTTTCGAAAGTTATCCGATTCCTTTTTTTTTTTTTTTGAGTTAAAGTCTTCTATGGAAGAAAAGTTGAAAAAACAAAGCGCATAAATAGGAAGAAAATATACCATATTTGTTTTGCACAAATATTTTAATCATTCTAAAAAAATTAAAAAGAAAAGACAAAAAAACTTATATATATATATATATATATATATATATATATATATATATATATATACTACAATAGCAAATACATAAATAGATACTCAAACTTGGTAAATTGTCAGTTCGACACTTAAACTTACCTAAAGACCATTTAGACATTTTTTTTTGGCAAAAGTGTCTCCTAAACCCCTCCGTCTAGCAGGCCTCGTGCCTGAAATACCAACACGCTGACATGTTGAAAATCAAATAAAAATTTGACATATGCAAAAGAAAATAAGAATTAAGAAAAACTAAATTCCATTAGGCATGACATGATGCAACTTCAGCTTACTGAGGACATAATCCTTGATAAGAGGGTTATGGAGGTTGGGAATTAGGGTACAAAGTTAGTAGATAGGCGGGAGTGTCTCCTTTGCATACCGATAACATTAGTACTAATCTCGTGTTTTCGTACCTTCTTATTCGTACATTTCTTTTGTTGTATGTCAGTTCTTTCGCTTTGATTATTTTATCACCTTATTTTGCTGTTGTTACTACTTGTTTGAGGCCCGTTCTCCTATTTGATATTTTCCGTATGTGTGTTTGTTGTTTTATAACTTGCGGGGTTGATTGATTTGGTTCCGGGGAAGTTCGAGCGTGATTTGAAATACTTAGTATCATTTACGGAAGCTTAAGCTATAAGAGTTGATCGGGGCTTGACTTTTGTGAAAGCGACCTTAGAATGGTGTTTTGATGGTTCCAATAAGTTTGTATGGTAATTTTGGATTTAGACGTGTATCCGGATTGGAATTTGGAGGTTCTAGATTGATTTGGCTTAATTTGGCAAAAGATGGAAATTTGTAGGTTTGAAAGGTTCATAGGTTGAACAGGGAGTTGACTTTGATGATATCTGGTTCCAATTATTATTTCAGGAGTTGGAATAGGTTTGTTATGTCATTTCGGACTTGTGTGCAAAATTTGGGGTTATTCCGAGTTGGTAGACGCGGTTCGGCATGAGTTTTGAAAGTTTGAAAGTGGATTAGCTCATTAAGCTTGAATTGAGGTGCAATTTTTAGTATTGATGTTATTTGTGTGATTTGAGACCTCGAGTAGGTCAGTGTTATATTTTGGGACTGGTTAGTATGATTGGACAGGGTTCCAAGAGGCTCAAGTGAGTTTCGGATCATTTGAGGTTGAATTGGCATTTTTAATCTGGTGTTTTCTCACCTGCGAGTTTTTGAGTGCAGGTGCAAGTTCGCAGATACGGATAGGTGAGCGCAGGAGCGGATTTAGGCTTGAGACAGGGCGTCCACAAGTGCAAAACTTGGGGCGTGGAAGCGGTCGTGCACCTACGAGGTTCATCCGCAGGTGCAGCCTCGCAAAAGCGAGGTCTTGCATTGCAGAAGCGGTTGGTCGGGGGTGTTAGTGAGCTTGCAGATGCAAGCATAATTCCGTAGAAGCGGAGTCGCAAAAGCGACTTATGGGTCTGTAAAAAGCAGAATCGCTAAGCAGGTCATATATTTTTGAGGCTTTGAGTATTTATCATATTTTGAGAATGGGAAGCTTGGATTTGAGCGATTTTTAGGCGATTTTTACCACTAGGATTGGGGTAAGCGTTCTTGACTTGGATTTGATTTTTATTTCACAATTCCATCTTTAATTTTGGCTTTTGATTGATGAAATCTAAAGGAGAAAATTAGGGTTTTTGTAAGAAACTTTTAGAAAGCGAATAATTGATATTTCAAACCCGATTTGGAGTCGCTTTTGGATGAAACTTGTATATTTGGACTCATATTAGAATGAAGTTCAGGATTTATGAGATTTGTCGGTTCTGGGAGGCGGGCATGGGTTGACTTTTTGGTTAACTTTATGCATTTGATTAAAGATTCGACCTTATCGTTTGGATTCGATTTCTATGGCTTTGTTTGACGCTATTGAGTTGTATTTAGCTAGATTCGACTCGTTCGGAGGTTAATTTGAGAAGAAAGGCTATTTTGGGAGATTAGAGGCTACTATGTGGAAGTAAGTCTCTTGGCTAACCTTGTTAAGAGAGAAACCCCTAGGATTTGACTTGTTTGTCATGTGCGTAAGGTATTGGGGGTAGTGTATAAAGGCAGTGGCGAGCGTATATGCATTTACCTAATTTGTATCATGACTGGGGTAAAATTGAATTATCGTATGCCTTATTTTGAATATGTGCTCATTTGATTCATGATTTATGTGACTTATGTGACTACAATGCTCTCTTATTATGTTAGAAATCATGCCTAGGCTTATGATTTATTGTGAAGGCATGGGAAGTTATTCTTGCTATGCTAAATTGCTTAAATTCCCCATAGTCACATAGAGATTGCACGATCACATACAGTATGATATTTATTGAGTACTTGTGCACCTTTTATCTATAATTATTGAGCATATCCATACATTTTGAATATTGAATACGTGATTTGGACTGACACGAAGGGTAAGTGTGCAGACGAGATACAATTATGGCACATTGGACATGATGATTGGATTTGATTTATGAGGGATGCTATTATGCCCCTTTTTGCGCTTAGATTTGGATCCGTCCCTCCTGAGTCATGTGACAACCCATGTTACTTTGTGTCATGACCCCGAATTCCCACCTTAGGATGTCATGACGGCACCTAGTCATCATGTCCAATGTGCCATAAAAGTACCGTGTTTTCAGTCTTCAAGAGAATATGATAGAAATAAAGACTGAAAACACCGTATAAAACTAATAAGTCTCATAATAATATCAATACCGTATCACAAATACAATACACCCAAACCTGGTGAAACTGAGTCATAAACTCTACAGAAAAGTACTAAAAACTCAATATACATCATTGTCTGAATAGAGGATAACAATAATAAGAGAATGGCAGAAGGTGACTCCGAGGCCTGCGAACGTCGGGTAGGTATACCTTGAAGTCTCCGGAGATAGCTGAATGATCACTGGCGCCCGACACAAGCAGATGTGCCTGGATATGCACAAAAATGTACAAAAGCGTAGTATGAGTACATCACAACGGTACCCAATAAGTATCAAACCTAACCTCGATAGAGTTGTCACGAGGCCAGCTCAAGACACCTACTAGGATAAGAAAAACTTAACAAAGTATAGCATAGTCTAATAATGGAAAGCGAGAAAGTAAATGCTAGATAAGCAGTTCAATAATGTAAGCTAACAACAAAAGTTTAAGCGGTAAAAGCATCAAGTAGTGAGCACATGGTGAAACAACAAGTAGTCAAACACGGACAATTTCAAGTAAGACAACGAAGAAAACAACAAGATCTGCTCAACCAACAAGCTTCTTTAACATAGGATGGACAACAAAAATCACAACTGAGGTACCATATTTCATAATTTCAATCATAATCTTTCCTTATATCACAGCGTGAGCCTTGCATTTATTTTTAAAAATACTTTCCCGAAATAGCATGGCTTCAAGTAATTCCCTAACTAGCAACATACGTATAAATCCTAACTTATCTCACCACATGCGTATCAACCTCTATCCTTATATGTCCGCATGCGTATCAATATCACAACACAATAACAACTCGTATCATATATGCCCATATGCCACAACTTGCCAAAATCAACAACACCAATGTTACCACAATATATAGCACATGGCTCAATCACAATGTATACAAGAATCTCAATAGCAACAAATGAATGAGGAACACTCAACAAAGAAAGATATCTCAACGATTAACAACTTCAACCTCAATATGATAATGGCTTCCACAACTTCAACTTCAACAACCCAACAAGAAGATATTCCACGAAATAACCACTTCAAGTAAGCATAATTTAACAATAAAGGA